GAGAAAACGTATCAAATTACATGGCATGAGAGACATGTGTCTCATCCCACAGGGTCAGAGAGAAATATCTCATCCTTTAGAGTGTGAAAGCGTATCACATCGCATAGCAAGAGGGACATGTGTCTCATCCCACAGAGTCACAGAGAAGTATCTCATCCCACAGAGTTACAGAGAATTATCTCATCCCACAGAGCCAGAAAGACATATCTGATCCATTAGACTCAGCGAGGCGTATCACATCGCATTGTGTTAGAGAGAAGCATCCAGTCGCCTGTCAACAAGAACCGGTACATGTGTGCTTAATCAAATTGATGATGAAATTGATATGAAGACTTTGACAGTAACTACGAGTAATTACGGATTAACTGTCTGTAGTGAATAGCTGATAAAGTTCTGACCTCTTCCCCGTCATCTTTTAAATGTCGAATTTCAAGTTAAACAGTGAATATAAAACAACCTAGAATAAACAGTCTCGATTATCTGCCGAAGCAGAAATCATTCTGTACCTATTATTGTGATAGCGTAAAAGGCAACACAACTCATAACGTGACGAGTTACATACTACACATGTGATTAAGATGAAGAAGTACATGTGCAGAGTTGCGTCCCTTAGTCGTGCCAGGATCGTCGGTTTGAACCCCCGATTTACACCGATTATGATCCCTTGCCTGTTAGCGTTATACCTGTGCTCGTGGCTTTCACCAAGTGGTAAATGTTTAACACCTGCATCTTTTTGGGCTTCAGCCCCAGATGAAGATGGCCCATCATGATATCGATGTAACGGAAATACTGAGTGTTCAAAGCAGCCTGGGGCGGTCGGACAGCCTAGTGGTTAAAGCGTTCGCTCGTCACGCAGAAGACCCGGGTTCGATTCCCGATATGGGTACATTGTGTGAAGCCTATTTCTGGTGTCCCTCGCTGTGATATTGCTGGAATATTGCTAAAAGCGGCGTAAAACCATACTCTCTCACTCACTCAAAGCAGCCTTCAAACAAACTCACGCAATTATAATGACAGTGGGGTCGACATACTCGTACACTTGAAGCAATTAAACTTTATGTGACATAGCAAGCCAGGGAGTCTCAGTCGCTGCATTACGCTACACGGAGGTGCGTATCAAAGCTGTGCCAGGATACGCTGTAGATGAGTACGATGCCAAATTCGTTCTGATTAAGATTCACAAAATGTTGCCTATGAGAGTTACAATGTCTAGTTTTCATCTCCTACCAAGCTGACGCATTGTAATACAACTGAAATATTGTTAAAGGCGGCGTAAAACACAACTCATTCACTCCTATCACTATGTGATAGTGTTGGCGTATTGTTGAAATCCGATATACTCACTGTTAAAGTCCATCTTTAACTTAAGGGTCACACGATCAGATTCGTCTTTTGTCTATAAGGTCCGACCAAGAATGTGTTTTTAATCCAAAAGGAATGATGAAGCACTCGAGAATAGTAGAATACTAGAATAGCGCTTTATCAAATGCATATTCACCTTATCCTGGTCTGGAAGTGTCGGGGAAATTGGGAATACCAGTGTAGCTTCGCATGCCACAGAGGGATGGACATGACACCTCGGATGCGGACCCGTGAAGATCCGGGGTAGAATAGATCTTCAGCAACCCATGCTTGCTCTGAAAGGCGGCTATGCTTGTCGTAAGAGGCGACAAACGGGATCGGGTGGTCAGGCTCGCTGACTTGGTTGATGCATATCCAAATTGCGTGGATCGATGCTCATGATATCAATCACTGAATTGTCTGGTCTAGACTCGGTTTTGTACAGACCGCCGTCATATAGCTGGCATATTGCTTAGTGCGGCATTAAACAACAAACCAACCAACCAACCTCTGATGCAGCAGAATCGATTGGGGCTATACAAGTGTGTTTTTCTTTCATCTTCAATGCTATCGGGGAGACGGGTGGCCAAGTCGTCTAAGGCGTCTAAGGCGCCGCGATTCGCTATGAAGAGTCCCTTGGGCACGCCAGAAACCTATGATTGTGGGTTCGAATCCCGGTTCGCCCCAATTATGTTTTTAGGGTTGTCAGCACCATACCCGTGCTCCTGGGTTTCACCGATGTGGGAAACGTCTGAGACCTGCATTACTACGGGCTTTCCTCCCACATTAAGCTGACACGCCGTGATATAACTGGAATACTGTTAAAAGCGGCGTTAAACCCAACTCACTCACTCACTCAATGCTATGACGTTCTGCCTTTTCACGGATACCTAGTGTCATCACGATGTGGTAGTGAGTCATGGTTTGGTTTGGTTGGACATCTTACAGTGAAATCGATGTGACAAATGGTTTATCAATGAAAGTGTCAAAGGTCGGTTGCAGACTGTCATGCGATGTGCACAATTTACGTGCAGCTGTTAAAATAACACAGCCATGTTTTCTGACAGCGATGTCACCAAAAGATATATAGGTGTATGTCCTGCCGTTTGTTTATTTGCAGTTTAACGGGTGTTTTATTTTTTTAAATATCAGTTCAGGGCCCTTACCCCCTCTACACGCAGCCAAGACAGTGAATGCGACTTCTCCCAGGAAGCGCTGCCTAGTCAAACCCACCCAGAACTTTTCGGAGAATGTGAAGACTCCCCATCACTGCAGCCTTCTGCATTACCCAGATTGTCAGAAGGGCTGTATTCCTGGTAGCAAACCCGGGTACTCTCCCGATGTCAGTCAACAGATTTGGAGGTACCAAACCGAGAACAATGGGGAGTCAGACAACTTGGTACTTGGGATGCAAGCGTGACATTTCGAAAGCGAGGTCTGCATATTTTCAATGTTTTTCCTCAATCTTGTCAACCACATTTGTGTCAAATGAGACAGAAAATTCAATAATATAAATGATTTCATTGGATTTATCAAAAAAGACAACATCAGGTGTGTTGGCCTGGATAGGTCTAGGGTTGTAAACGGGCCTATTCCAAAGAATTTTGTATTTATCAGTGAGAGAGTTGGCTTTAACACCGCTATTAACAGTATTCCAGTTATATCTCGGCGTTTCAGCTTAATGTGGCAGGAAAGCCCGAAGTGATGCAGGTCTCAGACATTTCCCACTTTTGTAAAACCCACGAGAACGGGTATGGTGCTGACAAACCTAAAAACATAATCGAGGCGAACCGGGATTCAAATCCACAATCATTGGTTTCTGGCGTGTCCAAAGGACGCAACTCTGCACAGCGAATCGCAGGTACATGGGGAATAACTATTAACATACAAAAATCAAACGTTTTCAGAAGGGGAGGCACCCTACATGCCAAGGAGAAATGGACATACATAGACACACCCCTGTCCATAGTTAACAGTTATACGTACTTGCGTGTAATATTGTCTTCAACTTTCAAGATGTCAAAGTAGATGTCAAAGTGTATTGCTGATCTAGCAAATCGTGGAAAACGGGCTTTGGTGGAAATGCACATAAATTTGAATATAATATGAATATTTGATACACAGGTATTACCAATACTTTTATATGGGTCAGAAGTATGGGGTTACCAGCGGTATGATCAATAAGAACGAGTTCATCTTTTGGCATGTAAAAGTTTTTTAAAGGTGGGAAAACAAACGCCAAATGCTATTGTCTGCGGTGAAGTTGTCGCTACCCGCTTTTATGTCAATGCGCAGGTCCGCATTACTAGTAGTTATAGTAGCAGTAGTAGTAGTAGTAGTAGTAGTAGTAGTAGTAGCAGTAGTAGTAGTAGCAGTAGTAGTAGTAGTAGTAGTAGTAGTAGCAGTAGCAGTAGTAGTAGTAGTAGTAGTAGCAGTAGTAGTAGTAGCAGCAGCAGTAGCAACAGCAGTAGGAGGATTAGTAGTAGCAGCAGTAGCAGAAGTAGTAGTAGCAGTAGTGGTAGTAGGAGTAGTAGTAGTAGCAGCAGTAGTGGTAGTAGCAGCAGTAGTAGTAGTAGCAGCAGTAGTAGTAAACATTTATTCGCTCGTTTATAACAATAAGGGACCAATGTCATCCAAATTACATAAACAAAATCAATTATACAAAAACTAAACAAAATCCCTATTATTCGTGAAATCCTCCGGTATTTTGTACACTGCCTGATTCACTCAAGTGATAGAATGTTACATATTCCTTAAATAGTGAACATTTATATATACTGTTACACATTTCACGAAAAGTACATACATGTATATTATACTACCGAAAAGAAATAAGGTAACTAATGATTTGAGTTATCGGTTAGTGCCCACACACTGCCGATCGCGCATGATGTCATCAAAATAGTTCCTGGAAGTTTAGAGGTCAGATGTCGCCAGTATGTAGCTGTCAATGTCATAGTGGCCATCATGGGACATACAAAGTCATACGTAGGACATACAAAAATATCATAGTGAACCCTTGTGAATGGGGCTGGGGGTGGAGTTGGGGGTGGGGCTTTTGGTGAGAGGGGCAGGTAACTTTGACCCTGAAGTTTCTCAGAAAGAAACCTTGCAACAATGTAATTTTTGTGCCATACAATTCCCTTTTTTCAACAGTCTGAAGCATAATTATAGCCCCCCACCCCCCTTAAATTAACAAAATTAAAAAAATATTGGTCCGTCATAGGTCCCTTAGTATCCTAGTGGCGTCATGTACATGGGTTAAATTCCCACACGTGGCCAAGTCGTGTAAATGTTGCATCCACCACCAACTACAGACTGTATTGCCGCTGCAACCCCGCACCCCAGTATCATCGTCAACATCTGTTGACAATGTCCTTGAATCTCCGATATATGAAGTCGTGGATGATAACGACAATGGCAGTTTGTCAATGCTTAATGCAGTAAACTGGTAATTTAATCTGCAATTTTCTTAAACACAATAAAAGTTTCTTTAAACAACTGATGAACCAATTTATTTAATCGGACGAAAAACATAATCCAAACTTAACAATATTGCAGTAGTATGTGTCTCAAACGAAAACATGGTTAAAAAAAAAAAAATTCATAAATAATGTATTAGCCGACATGAATAGACTCACCCAGCGGTGGTATAAAGTCACTACCACGTCATGATTATATTAGGCCACGACGTGTTTAGAAGCATGCATAACACTGTTGACGCTCGGTCGTGGATGATGTGGCTTTGTCTTGTGTTCTTGGTTTTGGTGCAACAAGGGCTATGCCAAGCGTTTGATACCGCTGGTGAGTGTGTGATTTACATAAATGAATGATACCCATAACTGAATAATGTACATGAGTCGTGTTCTGAATTTGTAAGCTATTTTGTACCTTTGGATTAACAAAATGTTTTCTTTTCCTACCTTCATGTTCATAAATCAAAACACATATATATGTTGAAGTGCACATTTTGATTAATCCTAGTATTGTTTTGGCATACATTTCAAAACGTAAAATGCAAATTTTATGTCACTACTGTAGCATGTTGTAAAGTAGGGATGTTTTTAAAACTGTCAGTTGAACTGAGATTGTAAGCGAGTTTATCATTTTCTGTGAAGAGTCATGCACAAAAAATCCAAAGAAACCCAATTGAAGAAAATAGGATTTGGTTTGTCAATTTACATTTTGATAAAATTTGAAATTGTTACACAAGTCTTCTCGTGCTAAAGCATCGTTTGTTCTTTGAGTATTCTTTCTTAACATATTCTTTTGTTAGGTAATAACAGATAAAACAAAAAAAACAATTATAAATTTATAAACATTTACTGTCATTCATAACAGTAGTGACTTGTTGACGCAAGAGGAAATTTTAAAATACATATGACTGCCACATTCAGTTTTTCAACTCAACAAACAATGTAATAGGAACAAGCACATGTTATGTGACACCAAGAGCTGGGGCTGCTGGAATATTGCTCGACATAACGGGAATGTTGACCATTGGAAAGTTGAAGTCATCCCTCTTGTTTTACAGTCTCTGAATCTTATTTGAAACCAGTTTGTCACCCTCATAACTCTTTATCACTACTGAACCGCTAAACTAATAGTGGAGAAATCACGTCTACAAATCTTTCAGTTCAAATAAATTCTTGTATAACCTGAAGAGATATGTTTTGAAAAACCTATTCAAATTAAATAAAACTGAGTTTCAAGATATTCTTTCAAACTATAAACGTCCCTTGTCACTACTGATACAAAATATAAAAATGTAGCAAAACTATCAGTAATTCAATGAAATCTGTAGCAGTTTTTTTGTGAAATAGTATTAACATGAGAAATGTAACTTTAAACGTCATTCTAAAGAAGTGAAAACCTCATTTTCTTACAACATTAAATCAGTTGCCACTACTTTTACATTTTGTCCCCACTGTTACAAAACAACTAAAACACATGAGACTGGGTCATTTGAGCTATTCAATTCAAACAAATCTGTCAAACAATGTCAAACTTGTAGATATTATTCTTTCAAAACAGCTATGAAAATTTAATAATGCTCTTATATATATATACACTTTTGACAAAATTTCAAAATATCTGTTCACTACTGTTACATTTAAGTGTCCCCACTGTTACAAATATTTGCCAAACCCATTATTGTTGGAATCATGATTGTGAGTCTGCTTATGTTGAATATATTTTTTGAATTTTGAATTAACATGAAATTAAATATATTTGTTTGATTGGTTATGTAAGTAAAGTAGAATCTTATTTTGTACCATTTCAGTTACAACTGTTATCATCCTTCGTCACTACTGTTACTGATACTTGACATATTCCCCGTTTTCTGGCCATCCGTTTTAGCTTTTGTCAGACCGTGCCAGCAAAACCGTTGTATTCATTGTTACATTACGCTGTTACATTTTAACACATAGGCACTGTAACAGTAGTGATCGTAGAAGTAGTGACAAATCAATGAATTTTCATTTCTAAAACAATGATTGGTCCCCGAGAATCAAAAGGCACATGCTTCTTAAAAATGCACAAAATCAGTACCCATATGCACGCAAACATTACATGACATGGGGTCTTTTTCAAGCCCAGTAGCACCATTGACATACAAAATCATGAGATATGGAAAATGACTCGCCTTGTGTGTTGTAATTTCTTTATTTCTGCAGGCTCCAAGAAAAACAGGTACAGCGGTTATCTCCCAAATGTGTAATGTAAGATGCCTGTATGATGAGAAGACAATTTTTAGAAATTACGAAAATAACAATAGGAAGAAACAATTATTACACTGAGAAACTGAGATGAGACGATTTACAGTTGAGATGGCTAGGTTTAGTATATAGATACTTGAAACTGACTAACATGACAAACACATCAAAATTCGCGGATGATGGAGCCATCTGGATCCGCACTAAAAGCATGAAAATGGCCCAAAATTTACTCCAAAAATCTCTTAATAAAATACAACAATGGGCTGACAAATGGGGCTTCTCCCTTAACTCAGAAAAAACAACAGGAATAGTATTTAAACATAAAAACATGAAACACAGCTAAACAATCAAACAATCAAATTTCAAAAACAAACCAAATTTTTAGGACTTATTTTCGATGAACATCTCACCTGGGATGCTCACATCCAAAACCTAACAACTAAATGCAGTAAAGACCTAAACACCCTAAGATGCCTAACTGGCTCCAACTCGGAAGCCTCCAAAGATACCCTCCTCTCTCTCTACATATCACTAATTAGATCAAAACTAGACTACGGCTGCGCCATATACAACACCCTAAACAACTCTCTATCTAAAAAGCTTGACTCAATACAACTTGCAGACCACTTGCCCCGTCATGCATCCAGACAGACTTTGAGCCTTTATCGTCAGGCTGGGATAAAGAGTGAAATGAACATGATGAAATTTATAATAATGTATTATGAATTTTGAAAAATGAACATTTTGTTATAATGTATTATGAATTTTGAAAAATGAACATTTTATAATAATGTATTATGAATTTTGAATAATATCGTAATCGTAATTAAATATTTATCTCAATCTAGACTCTATTCGTGTTTCTTGGGTTGTTCCATTGTATGAAATAGGTAACAGACTTGGGATTAGCAGTGCCATGGACCATGAACTTTGTTGTCTTAAGCTGTAGGGGAAATGGGATGTAGGGGTTTTGGGAGGTTACCGGTACAGCCATGTTGGCAAGGCTTTCAACAGGAAGTAGTTTAAGCAGTCAGCTAGGGAGATATCATTTATTCGAACTGTTTCTTATAACAGTAGTGACATGTAACCCTGTGACAAGCATAAAAAAGGAAAACAGAAAAAACGTATACTTAACCTAAGCTCCTCTTCACAGATTGGTGCAAAGTATCGGACAAAAAAATGGTTTTGGATTGAAATTGAATAACTTGAAGTTGGGCCGTCATAAGTGGGGTATTCATGGTAAACTGCAGAATGGTATCTCAGCGGGTTAGCACTATAAAACTGAATAGGTTCCAGGGTGGTTCGATCACCTGCCGTGTGCACGTTGCTAAATAAGTTTAATCGGCTTCAACTCAACATTAAATCGAATTTCACCTCACCTTATGTAAAGCACCCGTTATCAACCCCGTAAAGATCCGCCACTGGTCGTATTGAAAATTAAATGCTTTCCTTGATGGCTGTTTTCAATTATTTATATACGAAATCCTATTGTTACGAAATATCGAGTATTTTTCTCGCCATCTCAGTTATTTAATTTGGAGTTGTTTCTCGTAATTCGATTATGTTTCCTATTTCCGACTATTTTCTCGGTTTTCAGTTTTATTTTTTAAAATCTTAATTTTGAATTTTTACTCGTTTCTTAAAATAGAATTCAAACAAAGAGAAACTTATCGTAATTACTAAACCAAGCAAAGACATAAAATAACGAGAAATTTCTATTTAAAGAATACATTTGTGGTATCAAAGTGGCAAGGGTTAGGTTTCGTATTTATATGATGAAGCCTACATGGCATTGAAGCCTACATGGCATTGAAGCCTACATGGCATTAGACAAGATAATATGCAGACAGCTTGTGTAGCTGATTCAAAGTAATAAACTCATATGTTATCAGATATTGACCGAGTTTCTGGTGCCGTGGGAGAGGGCTACAGTGCCAGGCAGGATCTCTACACCATCAGAGAATCTATTGGGCGTCTCGACATAGACGTCACCAACTACTTCGTCGACACTGAAAATTTCGAAGTATCAGACAACTTTGTCGTCAATTGGCATCTGAAACCACACCGCAATGTTACGAACGCGGCCACCCCAGGGGTAGATGTCACGCCAACAAAAGGATTTATCGTATTTGCAAAAGAAAAGAGCGTGCGAACCATCACCCTCGACATTGAGACGAATGACGTAAGGAAACTAACACTCTCATATCACTTGCAATAAAACGAGGGGTAGTGGGGTAGCCTTGTGGTGAAAGCGTTCGATCGTCACGGCGAAGGCCACGGTTCGATTCCCCGTATTAGTACAAGATGTGGATCCAATTTCTGGTCTCCTCCGCCGTGATATTGCTGGAATATTGCTCACAGGCTCAGCATGACCAAACGTTTACAAATATTGATTTTCTTTAAAATATAAGACATTTCGTTTTATTGGAATGTGATAAAATTTAAAAGTATTGTATGAGAGAAAATCCAAATAGATTATACAAGTAGGACATTATTTGGATCCATCTTTGCAACGTACATGGGAACTGTTGAGTATTGTCGAGGTACTAGTGGCCAAGTAGTCGGAGGGCCGTACTGTACCTTAGTCGTTTCAGGTCACTCACTCACTCACTCACTCACTCACTCACTCACTCACTCACTCACTCACTCACTCACTCACTCACTCACCCACCCACCTACTCACTCACTCATTCATTCGTAAAACCTGAAGTACAATTATTTTTCAAGTAGTTTCCTCCATCCCAAACACACCCCCCACCCCACCACCACCACCCCACCCCACCCCACCACCACCACCCACGCCCCACCCCCACCCCCGGGCCCACGCACACACCCCCACACACAATGAAAATGTCATAGAGATAGATCTCTCTCTCTCATGGGTTTATGGTCGGAACATTGATATTGATATTTACGTTGATATTTATAACTGCATTCCCTTTGGCTCGATATCCTAAAGCGTCCACGGTTGATATTTGACAGGGGTTTGAAAAGGATGAAACATTCGTACTCCACCTGACTTCAGACGAGCAAACAGCGCTGCCCCATCTGAAGGAATTTACGACAGTAAAGATCATTCAAGGTAAGGAATTTACCTCCGTTTAAACCATTCAAGGTATGGAATTTACCTCCGTTAAATCCATTCAAGGTATGGAATTTACCTCCGTTTCTATCATTCAAAATAAGGAATTTACCTCCGTTGAAACCATTCAAGGAAGAGAATTTAACACCATTACCATCATTCAAAGTAAGGAATATACCACCATCATCATCATCATCATCATCATCATCATAATTCATTTTAGGGAATGTACCGCTATTACAGTCGTCCAGTGCAGGGAATTTACAACCCGTACCATCATTTAAAGTAGGGTGTATACCACCATTACCATCATTCAAAGTTTAAATTACAACAGTTAACACTATTCAAGGAAGGGAATTTACCACCGTTAAAACCATTTAAGGAAGGGAATTTATTAGTATCATTATTCTTGATAGGAATTTATCACCAGTACAATCATTCAAAGTAGATAATTCACAACAGTTATCATTTTCAAGGTAGGGAATTTATCAGCGTTACCATCATTCAAATAAGGAATTTACAACCGTTATCATCATTCAAGGTAGGGAATTTACCACCGCTACCATCATTTAAGTAAGGAATTTACCACTGTTACCATCATTCAAGTAGGGAATTTACTACCGTTATCATCATTCAAGTAAGGAATTTACCACTGTTACCATCATTCAAGTAGGGAATTTACAACCGTTATCATCATTCAAGTAGGGAATTTACCACCGTTATCATCATTCGAGTAAGGAATTTACCACTGTTATCATCATTCAAGTAAGGAATTTACCACCGTTATCATCATTCGAGTAAGGAATTTACCACTGTTATCATCATTCAAGTAAGGAATTTACCACCGTTATCACCATTCAAGTAGGGAATTTACCACCGTTATCATCATGCAAGTAGGGAATTTACCACCGTTATCATCATTCAAGGTAGGGAATTTACCACTGTTATCCTCATTCAAGGTAGGGAATTTACCACTGTTATCATCATTCAAGGTAGGGAATTTACCACCACTACGATCATTCAGGTAAGGAATTTACCACCGTTATCATCATTCATGTATGTATGTATGTATGTATGTATGTATGTATGTATGTATGTATGTATGTATGTATGTATGTATGTATGTATGTATGTATGTATGTATGTATGTATGTATGTAAAAGCAACAAAGCCTAACCATTATCATAAGAAGTGTCCACTAAAAACGATTCTGAAATATATGTGCACCTACTTCTTCGACCCGTCACCTTTATTGCAGGAAATTATTTATAACATGCGATCAGGGAAGCTGTACTATCATTAAAGGTAGGAATATGGGACAAGGGCTCTTGGGAACCGTACAATTATGTTATACAGAGATATGTGGCATGTTCTCAATGGAACCTAACTATCCCTGGGGCAAGGGCTCTTGGGAACCGTGCAATTATGAAATACAGGGACATGTGGCATGTTCTCAATAGAACCGAACTATCACTAAAGGTGGGAATATGGGACAAGGGCTCTTGGGAACCGTACAATTATGTAAAACAGGGATATGTGGCATCTTCTCAATGGAACCGTACTATCACAGAGGATGGGAATATGGGACAAGGGCTCTTGGGAACAGTACAATTATCTAATACAGGGATATGTGGCATGTTCTCAATGGAACCGAACTATCACTGAAGGTGGGAATATGGGGCAAGAGCTCTTGGGAACCGTACAGTTATGTAATACAGGGATATGTGGCATGTTCTCAATGGAACCGAACTATCACTGAAGGTGGGAATACGGGGCAAGGGCTCTTGGGAACCGTACAATTATGTAATACAGGGATATGTGGCATGTTCTCAATGGAACCGAACTATCACTGAAGGTGGGAATATGGGGCAAGGGCTCTTGGGAACCGTACAATTATGTAATACAGGGACATGTGGCATGTTCTCAATGGAACCGAACTATCACTAAAGGTGGGAATATGGGACAAGGGCTCTTGGGAACCGTACAATTATGTAAAACAGGGATATGTGGCATGTTCTCAATGGAACCGTACTATCACAGAGGATGGGAATATGGGACAAGGGCTCTTGGGAAACGTACAATTATGTAATACAGGGATATGTGGCATGTTCTCAATGGAACCGAACTATCACTGAAGGTGGGAATATTGGGCAAGGGCTCTTGGGAACAGTACAATTGTGTAATACAGGGATATGTGGCATGTTCTCAATGGAACCGAACTATCACTGAAGGTGGGAATATGGGGCAAGGGCTCTTGGGAACCGTACAATTATGTAATACAGGGATATGTGGTATGTTCTCAATGGAACCGAACTATCACTGAAGGTGGGAATATGGGGCAAGGGCTCTTGGGAACCGTACAATTATGTAATACAGGGATGTGTGGCAAGTTCTCAATGGAACCGTACTATCATTAAAGGCCGGGAGATTTGGCATGTGCCCTTAGAAGCCGTACTATCAATAAATGTAGGGTTATGTGACATGCGCCCTGGGAACCGACCCAGTGTTCAATGTAGGGATGTGTTGTGTGTTTTATGGGGTTAAGTCATCAATCAAGGTAGGTATAACACGTAATTCAGATACCGATACCATCTTTCAAGGTAGGGGTTTATGTCATGTACTTCTGAGGACCTATACCATCACTAGAGTGAGTGAGTGAGTGAGTGAGTTGGGTTTAACGCCGCTTTTAACATTATTCCAGTTATATCACGGCGTGTCAGGCTATATGTGGGAGGAAAGCCCGAAGTGATGCCGGTCTCAGGCGTTTATCACTTCAGTGAAACCCACGAGCACGGGAATGGTGCTGACAAACCTAGAAACCTAATCGGGGCGAACGGGGATTCGAACCCACAATCATAGGTTTCTGGTGTGCCCAAGGGACGCAACTCTGCTCAGCGAATCGCGGCGCCTCAGACGACTGGGCCACCTGTGCCCCGCCCCCCGTCTCCCATCCCCTCCCATATAGAGCCTGTGCTTCTGAAACCACATCCGACAGCCCCCGTGGTCTAGTGGTAGAGCGTCCGCCCGGAGAGCGGAAGGTCCGGGGTTCGATCCCCGGCCGCGTCATACCAAAAGACGTTAAAAGATGGTACTTGTTGTTACCCTGTCTGGCGCTCGGCATTAAAGGGCTAAAACAAGGACTGGTCGGCTCGGAGTCAGTATACTGTGTCTGAGTGGGGTATCCATGTTAAACTGCGGCATGATATCTCAGTGTGCTAGCACTATAAATCGGCATCAGTCCGGACTAGTACAAGCAGCCACACACACACATACACGTGCATGCACGTCGCTATATAAGCGCAATAATCTTGGACGCGACGTTAAACCCCATTTCACCTCACCTCACCTGAAACCACATCCCTTCATTGAATATCTGGGTATGCAGAATATGCTTCAAGGAACCCGAGACATGTAACACGTGCTCTGCGGATGACTAACATCAGTGAAGACAGGGATATAGTGTTTGCATGGCACTGTTGAGGTGTACATGATTAATTGAACAATTGCTTCATCTTGACGTTTCCTTGACAGCAAGGCCTGACATCCGTCAACAACATGTATCAGCTCGAGTCGGGCATCATTTTGCTTGCACGAATTGCAATATATACATAAGGTCTGATAAGTAGGCTTATGCTGTCAAAGAATGTTGTTGGTGTTTTGTTTGTTGTTCAAAATCCCACTCAGCAATATCCCAGCTATATGACGTCGGTCTGTATATATTCGAGGATGGACCAAAAATCCATCGATTGACATGATAAATCGTCGATATACGCAATTGGGATAAGAGTGAGTGAGTGAGTTGGGTTTAACGCCGCTTTTAACAGTATTCCAGTTATATCGCGGCGTGTCAGCTTAATGTGGGAGGAAAGCCCGAAGTGATGCAGGTCTCAGACGTTTACCACTTCGGTGAAACCCACGAGCACAGGTATGGTGCTGACAAACCTAGAAACATAATCGGGGCGAACCGGGATTCGAACCCAATTGGAATAAGATGACATGCATCAACCAGGTCAGCGAGCCTGACTACCCGATCAAGTTAGTGGCCACGCATGGGTTGCTGAAGACCAGTTCTAACCCGCATCGTCTACACAATGGACAGTTGAACAGTTTTCAACTAAAACCAATCGATTACTAACACCTGTGCTGATACTTTATACCTATTTCGTTTTAATTTCGGAATTATGTGAAATTCAATAAATAATTCCCAGTGGACACATTGACGTGGAGCATCCTCTTACATGTATCATGTTCATCCCAATCGATGCCTCCTGCTGCTTCAGCAGTCACAAATGAACACCGTGCTGATGTACTGTTAGCTCCCGACCCGTGAAGATCCGGGGTAGAATAGATCTTCAGCAACCCATGCTTGCCGTTAAAAGTGACTATGCTTGTCGTAAGAGGCGACTAACGGGATCGGGTGGTCAGACTCGCTGACTTGGTTGATACATGTCATCGTATCTCATTTGCGTGGATCGATGCTCATGATGTTAATCACTGGATTGTCTGGCCCAGACTCGATTATTTACAGACCGCCGTCATATAGCTGGAATATTGCTGAGTGTGGCGTTAAACAACTTCGGGATATCGGTATATGTTATGTTGTTCACTTGCTTTCAGACGAAACTTGTAATGGCATCTCATGTACAGCGGATGCAATCTGTGGAAACTTGACATGTGATTGCAAAGAAAACTATATCGGCGATCCACGGTTCACCTGTGTCGACCCAGGTAGGAGTGAATTTATGTTGACGTACACGATCGACATACATCCCCACATCCCCATCCTGCCCCAAGGACACACACTGCAACACAACACTTCACACTACTGGGAAAGTCCACACACCATTAACACACATCCACACACTGTTGAGATACGTCCCCAATAAATTGAAATAAATCTCATATAACTGACATGCATATCACACCAATGACACATCTCGTTTTGTTCTCCAGCCTCACACTTCACTGACACGAATCCACAGACCATTAAAATTCATTCCCACCCTATTGACACACATTCAAAACGACGGACACATACCCCCACACTGTAGATAACATCCCACACTATTAACATGCATACCAACACTGCTGGTATACATCCCACACTATTAACATGAATACCCACACTGTACATAACATCCCACACTATTAACATGCATGCCCACACTGCTGATATACGTCCCACACTATTAACATGCATACCCACACTGTAGATAACATCCCACACTATTAACATGCATACCCACACTGTACATTACATTCCACACTATTAACATGCATACCAACACTGTAGATAACATCCCACACTATTATCATGCATACCCACACTGCTGATATACATCCCACACTATTAATATGCATCCCCACACTGTAGATAACATCCCACACTATTAAAATGCATACCCACACTGTAGATAACATCCCACACTATTAACATGCATACCCACACTGTAGATAACATCCCACACTATTAACATGCATACCCACACTGTAGATAACACCCCACACTATTAACATGCATACCAACACTGTAGATAACATCCCACACTATTAACATGCATACCCACACTGCTGATATACATCCCACACTATTAACATGCATACCCACACTGTAGATAACATCCCACACTATTAACATGCATACCCACACTGTACATTAAATCCCACACTATTAACATGCATACCCACACTGTAGATAACACACCACACTATCAACATGCATACCCACAATGCTGATATACATCCCACACTATTAACATGCATACCCACACTGCTGATATACATCCCACACTATTAACATGAATACCCACACTGTAGATAACACCCCACACTATTAACATGCATACCCACACTGTAAATAACACCCCACACAATTAACATGCATACCCACACTGTAGATAACACCCCACACTATTAACATGCATACCCACACTGTAAATAACACCCCACACTATTAACATGCATACCAACACTGTAGATAACACCCCACACTATTAACATGCATACCCACACTGCTGATATACATCCCACACTATTAACATGCATACCCACACTGTAGATAACATCCCACACTATTAACATGCATACCCACACTGTAAATAACACCCCACACTATTAACATGCATACCCACACTGTAGATAACACCCCACACTATTAACATGCATACCCACACTGTAGATAACACCCCACACTATTAACATGCATACCCACACTGCTGATATACATCCCACACTATTAACATGCATACCCACACTGTAGATAACATCCCACACTATTAACCTGCATACCCACACTGTAAATAACACCCCACACTATTAACATGCATACCCACACTGTAAATAACACCCCACACTATAAACATGCATACCCACACTGCTGATATACATCCCACACTATTAACATGCATACCCACACTGTAGATAACACCCCACACTATTAACATGCATACCCACACTGCTGATATACATCTCACCCTTTTGGCCAAATTCTTGATAATTTTATTATTGTTCAACATCTCACACAGCTAACAGAGGATCCTACACTATTGACTGGTATCTCACACTATTTATAATTATCGACATCTGAACACTATAGACAAACTCCACACACTCCAGACATATTCCACACTATTTGAAAACATGCCATATCTTTGACATCACTTACACATTACTGACATTTGTCTAACACCATTGACACACATCCCGTACGATCGACATATACATCCCACGCTATGGACTTATACATCCCACGCTATCGACATATACATCCCACACTATCGACATATACATCCCACACTATCGACTTGTACATCCCACGCTATCGACATATACATCCAACACTATCGACTTATACATCCCACGCTATCGACATATACATCCCACACTATCGACATATACATCCCACACCATTGACATACAATCCACACTATCGACATACACATCCCACACTATTGACATATACATCAAACACTATTGAAACACAGCGCACACTATTGACATATACATCAAACATTATTGAAACACACCGCACACTATTGACATATACATCAAACACTATTGAAACACAGCCCACACTATCGACATATACATCCCACACCATTGACATACAATCCACACTATTGACACACACACCCCACACTTATGACATACACATCCCACACGAATGACATACACATCCCACACTAATACACATCCCTAACCACTGACATATACATCACCACACCATTGACAAATGCATCACCACAACATTGACATATGCATCCAACGTTATTGACACACATCCCACACTATTGACACACACATCCCACACTAATACACATCCCTAACAACTGACATATACATCACCACACCATTGACAAATGCATCACCACAACATTGACATATGCATCCAACGTTATTGACACACATCCCACACTATTGCGCACAGAGGATATTTCATGTTTCGAGTTTATTATCATGTTTCTCTCTTCGAGTGATCCCAAGCTATTGACATATATACCCCACACGGTTGCCACACAGCCCACACTATTGAAAAACACCCAACACTGTCGGCGTCTATGCCTACTGACACCCGAAGTCTTCAATTCAGGCAAGCACCACCTGTGCATCGAGTACGGGGACCCCCAGATCCAGCCCATGGGGGGGCATCCCTTCTACCTCTTGCTGCTGCCGTGTGAACACCGCATCGTGGAGACGGAGACAGAGACCGGCTGCTCCATCATCATAAACGGCGCCAGCACCGACGAAACCTATGACTTGAGAGCGAAAACAAAGCTTGAAATGCTAAACATTACCATTGTCAAGGACAATCAGCTGACCTATCTGGCCATTAATGAAAATGGAACAGAGGTATGGAAAATGTTGTTTGTTTTTTACACGTTAAGACTACCTGTGAAAATCCGGGTTAGAATTGGTCTTTAGTAACCCATGCTTGTCCTAAGAGGCGACTAACGGGATCGGGTGGTCAGGCTGTCTGACTTGGTTGATGCATGTCATCGTATCCAAATTGCGTGGGTCGATGCTCATGATATCAATCACTGATTATTTACAGACCGCAATCATATAGTTGGAATATTGCTGAGAGCGGCGTTAAACTGTCTGTTTTGGAGTAAGCGAGTTAGTGAATTGGTTTTTAACGCCGCTTACAATAAGTCGTCTGAGCGCTGCAGAGTTGCGTCCCTTAGGCGTTCTATGATCCTATGACCGTGGGTTCGATTCCCGGTTGCGACCTACCTAGAATGTCAATGGTGTAGTAGTCTTCTATGGGTTTTCAAAACTTACTCACTCACTCAGACCGTGTTGATGCGTATTGCGGTAACAAGGAAAGACGCATTTTTCTCTCCTGTTCAAACTTCTTTCGATATTCAATTGGGTATGACAATAACCACAACGATCACCATAACTGCAAATAACACAGACTTTCATATTGAATTTGTCCTAATTTAATCAATTCAAAACATTATAGTATTGGTTTTGAAAATACATATGCAATATGATTCTTGGGTAAATTGGTGCAATGATAAAATATGTCATTTTTCTCTCTATGAACACAAGCTAAATTAGAAATGTGCATTAAAGTTTCGTTTGTATTATTATAGTTTTTTATAGATGTTAAAAGCGGTTTCTTCTTTTCATCATCTTATTTACATAATGTTAAAGCTTGTATCAATTATTGTTCCATTGGGGGCGGTCGGGTAGCCTAGTGGTTAAAGTTCGCTCGCCACGCCAAAGACCCGGGTTCGATTCCCGACATGGGTACAATGTGTGAAGCCCATTTCTGGTGTCCCCCGCCGTGATATTGCTGGAATATTGCTAAAAGCGGCTTAAAACCATACTCACTCACTATTGTTCCATTGGTCTTTACCAGTGCAATCTGGCTTTATCTTCTCGTGAGTGAATGAGTTTAATTAAAGTCACGTTGGCAATATTTCAGCCATAATGTGACTGGAACAATAAACATGAAAATAAACATGAAAAATATCTAATTATTGGGGTACGACAGCATATAAAAATGGGGCTACAGATAGCCAGCAACAAGGTTAAGATCACCATACTAGGGACCAAGGGGACTTACGGTACCTCAGCTACCTGCATGGTTCCCTAGCAGGGTTTACACCTTTCCCAAGTTACTGGCGATTGTTGCACGTTTAGCCAGAGGTTAAAACAAACAAATATTCTACGATTAAAACAGTGGTAGATATAAATATACTTTGAAAGAGGTGTCTTCTCTCTTGTAAATAACCTTCTCTCCTTGTTGTTATCGTTCCTTTTCAAACTACAAGTAGTAGTAAATATTTATTTCAATGATTGGTAAACAAAGCTTTAACTCTAATAACTGAAGCCCAAAAAAGACTTTTTTCACTAAAGAAGGTATAAAATTGAAAATTGGATTTGACCGAAACATTACGTACGTTATCAAAACAATACAAGGTGATAAAAGTCTTCGAAACACTGCAAACTTAAGGTCCAAAAAACAACTATGATTTCCGTATAAAATACATCACCATCGAATAAATATTTTTTGTTGGTATATTGTGAGCCAACATCAAACATGGGTGTATACCTTCCTCTGCCCGGTAGTGTATTTCAAACAGTCCTTTAACAGTGACCATCACTCACATTGTCAATACCCTGCTCTTACTTACAGTTCTCTGACAAGATCGCAATGAAATTTGCTCGCAATGATGAAGGATTTCTTGAAATAGCCCTCCCTGAGTGCGACGATGCAAAAATCAAGTTCCGGGAAGAAGATGGCGCTGTTGTTGTTGAGCTCCCCAAACACACCTTCCTCCCGATAGGGGCATGCATGCCAAGCGATGCCCCCGAAGCCCCTGGCTCCAGTTACACAGTCAGAGAAGCAAGAGGAAAAGACCTTGTTGAAATGTTTCTTCACAGCGTCCACGAAATCCACTCCTTCTACCCGTAAGTATCTTAAATCCGACCATCTACCAATATTAGCAACACCGACCCCATTCTACACCAAGTACCCGATATCCACCCTTCTACATTAAGTACTCGCTTCCAACCTCTTCTACACTAACCACCCGATATCCACCCCGTCTACACCAAGTTCCCGATGCCAACCCCTTCTACACTCAGTACCCGATATCCACCCTTCTACACTAAGTACCCGATATCCTACCCTTCTACACTAAGTACCCGATATCCACCCCTTCTACACTAAGTACCCGATATCCACCCCTATACACTAAGTACCCGATATCCACCCTTCTTCAATAAGTACCCGATATCCACAATTCTACACTAAGTACCCGATATCCACCCCTTCTACACCAAGAACCCGATGCCAGCCCCTTCTACACTAAGTACCCATGTCGACCTCTTCGACGCCATGTACCCGATATCCACCCTTCTACACTAAGTACCCGATATCCACAATTCTACACCAAGAACCCGATATCCACCCTTCTACACTAAGTACCAGATATCCACAATTCTACATCAAGAACCCGATGCCAGCCCCTTCTATACTAAGTACCCATGTCGACCTCTTCGACACCATGTACCCGATATCCACAATTCTACACTAAGTACCCGATATCCACCACTTCTACACCAAGAACCCGATGCCAGCCCCTTCTACACTAAGTACCCATGTCGACCTCTTCGACACCATGTACCCGATGTCAACCTCTTCGACATTAAGTACCCGATATTCACCACTTCTGCACTAAGTACCCAATATCCACCCCTTCTACTCTAAGTACCCGATATTCATCACTTCTACAATAAGTGCCTGATATCCTACACTTCTACACTAAGTACCCGATATGCACCACGTCTACACTAAGTACCCGATATCCACTATTCTACACCAAGAACCCGATATCCACCACTTCTACACTAAGTACCCGATATGCACCACTTCCACATTGAGTACCCGATGTCAACCCTCTTCTACACTAAGCACATCCACATGCCTGAAATGTGCCCTATCATTAGCGGGTCATCCATATTGTGCTATTTTGTGCCCACTGTGCTTCCCTCATTAATCAGTTACATAACGCCGGCGGCGGAGAGTAGGTAGATTGGTGACCGCGTTCGGCAGGGTCGAGTCCTGGGAGTTTGTAGGCAGCTGACTTTGTTCAAACTTGGCCCCATAGCAGCTCACCCACGGTAGGATGAAATGGTAACGTGAATGCAAAGTTTAACCTTCCTACGGGAAGCTTGGGTTGTATACTCTCCAGGGAGCTGAGTGTACAATTAGACTGCGCATCGATCCGTTGACCGGGTAAAAATAAAATGTCATATTGCAGTTGTCGTAGTAGTAGTGGTAGTAGTAGTAACAGCAGCAGTAGTAGTGAGTGAGTTGGGTTTAACGCCGCTTTTAACAGTATTCCAGTTATATCACGGCGTGTCAGCTTAATGTGGGAGGAAAGCCCGAAGTGATGCAGGTCTCAGACGTTTACCACTTCGGTGAAACCCACGAGCACGGATATGGTGCTGACAAACCTAGAAACATAATCGGGGCGAACCGGGATTCGAACCCACAATCATAGGTTTCTGGCGTGTCCAAGGGACGCAACTCTGCACAGCGAATCGCGGCGCCTTAGACGACTGGGCCACTCGTGCCCCCCAGTAGTAGAAGGAGCAGCAGTATATAGTAGTAGTAGTAGTAGTAGTAGTAGTAGTTGAGGAACTTGTAGTTGTAGTAGTAGTTGTAGCAGTGGTGGCAGTGGGTTGTAGTTGTTGGAGTAGTAGAAGTGGTAGCAGTGGCAGTGGCAGTAGCAGCAGCATCAGCAGCAGTACTAGTAGTAGTAGTAGTAGTAGTAGTAGTAGTAGTAGTAGTAGTAGTAGTAGTTGTAGTAATACATTGTTCTGGGCTTCATTCAGACATATATTTCATTTTTTGTAGATACATGTATATATTTTTAAATAAGATAACTATAATTCTTGGACTTCATGTCAGCCTACCCTTTTCCCATATGCAGACTATGCAAGGACATCAGCGCTACCTACAGCTCTTGTGAATCGAAACACTTTCACGACATGTCGATAGTGTGCGGACAGTTTGCCTTCGGAGACAGTGGAGAATGTTTGTCCAAGGGAATGGATCGCCAACAGTTTTTGTCCGTCATCCACAGATGCATGGACGACATATGCATCAACAACCTTCACCCCTGTGACGCCATCAAAAAGTACATAACTGCCACCAATGCCCGCTGCGACATCGACTACGTGTTGGAGGACTACGGTTGTCCGAAATAAAACAACTACCACGTGCCATACGTGCAATAAATGTTTACATTAACACACTGATCGTGACTATCTTGCTTTTTATCTTCAACCCCCCCCCCCAAGCCCACTCTCCCGGTTTGAAACACGGGGGATATGGCGATACAGACCGCCGTCATACAGCTGGAATATTGCTTAGTGCGGCGTTAAACAACAAACCAACCAACCTAGTCAGCCGTCCGTTTTCCGTCCTAAACCTTGAAACATTTCTTGTTGAAAAATTCTATAATGAACAGTTTAGTTGGGAACTGGTGCCTTTTGCTGATTTGGGATATTCATTCTTTTTATTTTGTTTTCTTTTTCAGACAGAATTCCAAAGCCGTTGTAACTTGCGGTATATCTCAGTCTAGTGGTAAACTGGTGCCTTTTGATGATTTTGGGTTTTTAAAATTTAATTTTTGCAAGACAAGTCGGATTTATACTGAAAATGAGGGGAGTGCTCGCGATCGTTTCTGGAGCAGAACTCCAAAATCGTTGACTATTCCTAGATGAAACTTGCTACTTCAGATCAGCAGATCTCCATAACTCCATAACTCCATTTCCGAATTGCACCAGACCGGGGGGAATATGTCATCTCCTGATGAATCTTGGTTGCATCTGCAGCAATGTCGGAGTCCCTCATGTGTGAGGTCCAACATGCTATCTTGCCTTGTTACATCTCCGATAACGGAGTCGTATATAATCTGTTTGTTTGTTTGTTGTTTAACGCCGCACTCAGCAATATTCCAGCTATATGACGGCGGTCTGTAAATAATCGTGTCTGGACCAGACAATCCAGTGATCGACGTTATGAGCTTCGAAGCACGAAATTGGGATCGATGACATGCATCAATCAAGTCGTCAATCCTGACCACTCAATCCCGTCAGTCACCTCTTACGAGAAGCACAGTCACCTTTTGCGGCAAGCATGGGTTGCTGAAGACCTGTTCTACCCCGGATCTTCACGGGTCTGTGAGGTAACACATTGGGTACAGAGAACGCAAGGGACACCCTTATCTGTTTACATTGACACACTGATTGCGAGTGTATGTACTTACATGTGAGGTGAAATTTGGTTTAACGTCGCCTCCAAGATTATTGCACTTATACAGCGACGCATGCACGTGAGAGTGTGTGTCTGTGGCTGCTTGTACTCGTCCAGACTGATGCCGATTTTTTAGTGCTAGCACACTGAGATACCATGCTGCAGTTTCACATCAATTCCCCATTCAGACACAGTTTACTGACTCCGAGCAAACCACTCCTTGATTTAGCCCCTTAATGCCGAGCGCCAGACAGGGTAACAACAAGTACACAACACGGCGTATAACTTTTATTATAAAATGCGGATTCGTTCTCTTTATTCTAAAAGTACGTAATTTTAAATTTCATAGTTAAAGTTACACATTTCAATTGATATGAGCATATGGGTAATAAACCACAGATTTTAGGGATAAGATTTTATATATTCATATATTATATACAATATTTTATTATATATAGTTTTTTCATTAATATGTAGTTTCGGACATGATGTGCAAACGATAACGTTACAATTTCACTAATTTACGGACAAAATGGCGTCACACATATTTGAACAAATTCGTATTCGACGATTTCGCTGACTACTTTCCATGGAGATGTTTCATTTTCACCACAGTAATCGGGAAACAAACAAGCTTTCGCATAATATTTTTGGTTTTTACATTATTGTAGATTTACAACCTGACAAGACGCACTAGGTATCCAGTGCGCAATGTCAACAAAATAGCCGCCATGGACATTATGTAAAAAATGGCATATTCAATAGGTTTGCCGAGCTATAAACTACTGGTAATCACGTTAATGCTTTACAATATTTAATAGACAGTTAGGGAAATGGTTGAACTTTTATAGTGTGAAATTTGAAAATTGTTGGTTTTACCGTTGTTACGTGACGCCGTTATTAGACGAAGGGGTGCAGTTTTTAGAACGTCACTCGCAAATAAACTCGGCACAGCGATAGTACATAGGCTATTTTTAGGTGACAGCCAGAGGGTTAATGCTGAACGCCAGGCAGGGTAACAACAATTACCATCTTGTAACGTATTTTGGTATGTTGCGGCGGAGGGTCGAACCCCGGCCTTCCGCTCTTGACTACTAACATGAATACTGACTACGAGACGACGGACCAGTCCTTGTTTCATCCCCTTAAAGCCGTGCGCTAGGCCGGTTACAAGTCAAAACAAGTACCAGTTTTCAAAGCATTTTGGTATGACGCAGCCGGGGATCGAACCCGACCTTCCGATCTCCGGGTAGACGCTCTGTCCACTAGGCCACGGAGGAGGTTGAGGCACACATAGCACACAAAGGTACACTGGAGTCTAGAGTGTTTACACACATGCAAGGAGCTAAATCTGCCGAACTAGGCTGGAAATCCGTGGCTCGTTTATAGTAGTAGCTATTACGAGTTATGTCCCTTCTATGACCCCTTTATTGATTAATCAGATTCCACCTCTCATATCACGTGCATTTGCTTCAAACAAAATGGTGGTGGTCGGATAGTCTAGTAGTTAAAGCGTTCGCTCGTCACGCCGAGGACGCGGGTTCGATTCCCGGTACAATGTGTGAAGCCAATTTGTGGTGTCCCCCGCCGTGATATTGCTGAAAATACAGTAAACTACGGTTATAACGAACTCAAAGGGACCACTAATTTTAGTTCGTTTTAACCGTAGTTCGTTATAAGCATATATACAGCATAACTACAGCAAATAGTCGGGACAAAAAAGTAAGTTCGTTATATCCGTCAGTTCGTTATAAGCGTGTTCGTTATAAACGTGGTTTACTGTATTGCTAAAAGCGGCGTTAAACAAAACTCACTCAAACAAAATGGCAGCACCCAGTCAAGAGGACCTTATCGATAATTAAGATCTATATTGTGAAAAAAAGAGGTTTTACCTAAGTCACTTGAGCACCTTTATTAAAAAAATGGAAACATCTGCCGACGCTCAGCTGAGGGTACACATGCTCTGGAAATCCTGCAATCGAACGAATTCGGCACGGCAGTTGCCATGTTATTTATGAACCGGATGTCGATTTCGCTACGGTATTTTGTTTTCGTTAGTCCGGCCAAGATATAACTCCATAATTACACCCACCCTTGCCTCGGGAAGATGGTTAGGGTGGTTGGTTGGTTGGTTGGTTTGTTGTTTCACGCCGCACTCAGCAATATTCCAGCTTTATGACGGCGGCCTGTAAATAATCGAGTCTGGACCAGACAATCCAGTGATCGATATCATGAGCATCGATCCACGAAATTAGGATCGATGACATGCATCAACTAAGTCAGCGAGCCTGACCACCCGATCCCGTTAGTCGCCATTTACGACAAGCATAGTCGCCTATTACGGCAAGCATGGGTTGCTGAAGACCTATTCTACCAGGGATATTCACGGGTCAAGATGGCTAGGGGCGTCTACTCTGTCAGCTCCTGTTGCTGCACCATGTGCTATAAACACTTGCCCATCCCCGCGTAGCATCCTTGTCTTCTGTCATGATAGTCAATATATACCTGGGCCCACTTGCACAAAGCCATCTTAGCACAAAGCCATACTTTAACATAGGCTTACGATAGTCTTAGCACTAAGATCGCTTTGTGCAAGTGGGCCCTGATATAATGCCGATGCGACGTTAAATGTTAACTCACTCATCCTGTCACGGTAAACAAAACCGGTGACGACACGGTTGATCTTCTGCAACCCATGTTGCGACGAGTGAGGGAGTTGGATTGTACGCTGCTTTTAGCAATATTCATGCAATATCACGGTGGGGGGGGGGGGGGGGGGGGGGGCACCAGAAATGGGCTCCTCAAATCGAACGTGACGAGCGGACGCTTTAACCACTAGGCCATGATGTCAATCACTGGATTATCTAGCTTAGACTTGATTGTCTCAGACCGCCGTCATACAGCTGGAATATTGCGGCGTTAAACAACAAACAAACATGACCCGGTTATCACTGAGGGCAAATTCTGTTCCGGATCCCGACGGTGAAGCATGGGAGAATTTGGGCAATGTACCCGGAATAACGAGGGTACAAAAAAAGTACGTAACAAGTTTTTACAGGAATAACTGTAATACAAATTCAAAATTAACAGTCTGTAGAGGAATAATTCACAAATACAGTATAGCATAGGCTTGTAAATATACAGTGTTTAAATTGCACTTGCATCTGTTTCATCAAACAAATATAATACTTTACAATCAGTCAATAAATACACAAGGAAATAGCTATACTACATTAATATGAAGGCATCATGTGTTCTTAAACGTCTTTTGAGGAGGACACCGCCTCCGTAATATAGTGGTAGAGCGTCCGGTGTTCGATCCCCTGCCGCGTCATACCAAAAGACGTTAAAAGATGGTACTCGTTGTTACCCTGTCTGGCGCTAGGCATTAAGGGGCCAAAACAGGGAATGGTCGTCTCGGAGTCAGTTTACTGTGTCTGAGTGGGGTATTCATGCGGCATGGTATCTCAGTGTGCTACAACTATCAATCGGCATAGTACAAGCAGCCCAACACGCACGCACGCACGCACGCACGCACGCACGCACACACGCACGCACGTACGCGACTTTAAACCACATTTTACATCACCACCTTTTTTTATGAGTGTATAACAGTTGCGAGACAACGAGACTGTGTTGTCAGGGGTATTGTTCATTACAGGATACCCGGAAGCTGGCGTATAATACTGTATGGAGGGACTGTGGGTTCGCTGGTTTGAGGGTTTTATTGAGTGTGTGGGTATGGTTTTACGCCGCTTTTAGCAATACTCCAGCCATATAACGGCGAAATGGGTACCTATGAGGAAGTGAGTTAAATATTTAACGACGCATCGGCAATATTTCAGCCAGGTAACGACGAGTGAGTGAGTGAGTGAGTTGGGTTTTACGCCGCTTTTAACAGTATTCCAGTTATATCGCAGCGTGTCAGCTTAATGTGGGAGGAAAGCCCGAAGTGATGCAGGTGTAACGACGAGACCGATGAGGGAAATCGAACCGGGTCTTCGACATGACGGGCTCGTCCATCGCCCTCAAATCCAATGAGTGAGTGAGTGGGGTTCAACGCCACTTGAACAACATTTCAGTTACATCACGGCCTATCATAACGGGAGAAGAACTCCCGAAATGAGGATTGTCTTAGACGTTTATCACTTTCGTGAAACCCACGAGCAGGCTAAGGTGCTGACAAACCGACCAACAGAATCAGGGCGGGAATTCGAACCACGATCACAAGTTCCTGGCACGTCCAGGGAAAGCAACTCTGCTTTGTCTGAAAACATCAAATTTAGTGAATGACGTTCACAAAGGGCATGCCATAGACACCAAACCCCATCTGCTTGGCAAGTTTCGCCAAACCTTCTGTTTCAATATGATGATCTACAACGGTTTCTGGAAAGATTAAACCCTTTCTATGGCAGTCTGCCTTTATAAGAAGCGTGCACCCTCCAACGCCATCAATTGGCACCACCCTGCCTTCCGCTCGGAGATGGGGTAGGAATATTCTATTGGATAGGCCATAGCCTTCCAACATGAGTTCCCCATCTTTCATATGTTTTTGCTTGGCGATAGATTCCGGTGTTTCCCGCCACGTATTTTTATCAAATATCCGTAACTGTCCCATATCCGACTGGAACAAACACGACGGAACTACGATGTCCTTATCCGAAGACAGTAGCTGCTGGATTATGTCCGGCGGAAGCTGCGTGACGTCACTATCAATCCACAGAACCCACGCCTCGTCCTTTAGTCCAGCCTTCAGAAGCAAGTTCCGGGCCTGCGCAATGTGGCCGCGCCGTTTTCGCTGCGCGTGTATATTGTGGACATCCGTCCAAATTCCCCTAACTTGACCCGTGATGTTGAAGTGATGCACTTCTACCCTTTTAAACGTTTTCTTGAGATTGGATGCTACATCTTTAGCGATGCTCAGTGTTCCATCTCCACTGCAGTCCTCTCCGAACACAACTGATATCAGTTCATGTGGATAACTCAAGTCCCTCAGTAAACGACCAAACCGAGGTAGGAGTCGTGCTACGTTGTGAATCGGCGTCAGTATCAACACTTTTTCTTTATATTCCCGGGGCTCATAATTCAAGAATGCCTGTATAACTGACTGTCGTACTGGAATCACATGGTCATTGGAAGATCTTTGGGGCACAGGTGGAATAGCAAATAGCGCCTTGGGATCGTCTTTGGGATTTTTTGGCGCTTCCAACGCCTTCTGTTTTTCGGTTATGTCATGACTTGGTTCTGTTCTTGGGCTTATTTGAAGCGGGGTTTTGGTAGTCCGGCCAAAGTGAAAAAAATTAAATGCGACAGTGCTGAACGCAAGGAGCACAAGGCTGTAAATGAACAGAAGTTTGGAAACTTGAGGACGATGGTTAAACAAAGGGAGAAAACTCTGCCACAACGACGTTTTACGGATCATTGTGTGATATGAATGCTCACTGCTGTCGAGATACGGTATGTTGAAAAAAAATGAAAGTCATATGAGGCCTCGTCGCCTCATTCTCCAGCCCGGCAGTAATTTGTCAAGTCAGGGTTGACGCTCCGATAACGGCGACAGCTAGCGCTTCTACGCTGTGAGGCGGCGAAACTAATGACAACTTGTGAGGTGCGAGTCCCGAGTTTGTGAATCTCGCTTCAGTTTAATGACCCCCTTCCGGTCACATCCCGCTGAGGTCAAGCTGGCTCGGGACACCTGCAGCAAATGAGAATCAGATTCATAACAACCACAGCGGATAACAAGCCATGAAAGTGGAACACGCTTTATTGAGAAAGGCATCGGGGAACGAAAGGGGAAAGTCTACAAAAAGAGCGTGTTTGCATTGTCACATGGGGGGGGGGGGGGGGGGGGGGGGGGTGTTCCATGAGGTGAGGGCGAATTCGATGTCGTGCGGACAGTTTGTGAACGGGTGTAAATAGTTGTGGTAGCCTGTTGCGTCTGTGTGGAGTCCTGTGGGTCGAGGGCGATGGTGGTTTGGGCTCAAATATAATACACTAGCATGTGTTTGTTTGTTTGTTGTTTAACGCCGCATTCAGCAATATTTCAGCTATATGACGGCGGTCTGTAAATAATCCGATGTAGAATAGGTCTTCAGCAGCCATGCTTGCCGTAAAATTGTTGGATGAGAGGGTGGCTGAATGAATTCTCCAACCAATATATGATCAGGTGTAAAGGTCGTCAGAAACCCATGCTTGCCGTAGAAGGCGTCTATGCTTGTTGTAAAAGGCGACTAACAGGATCGGGTCGTAAGGCTCACTGACTTTGTTGATACAGGTCATCGATCCCAATTGGGTGGATCGATGCTCGTGATGTCAATCACTGAATTGTCTGGTCCAGACTCGATTATTTACAGACCGCCGTCATATAGCTGGAATATTGCTGAGTGCGGCGTAAAACAACAAACCAACCAACCACAAATACAACCAGAATTACACAGACAACATGAGAGGAAACACATGACGGGGGGCGGTGTCTACATACACCACCATTAAACAACAAACATTAAAGTACACCACATACACACAAAGACGCTCACCCTCGTTGACAGTACATGTCGTGTACATCTCCGCTAGCTGCAAGTGCTTGGTTTTACACTGCCCCGTGATAACCTGTCCGTCGTTTAAGCATATCCCGCTGTAATCACAGTCGAGTCACGAGTGAACGGAGATTAAACAATCACAACGACAAGCAAATGAACTGTCGGTGACGGCATTGTCAGGCCGGATAAACCGGGCTGGTGAGGAATATTACTTCCGCTTAAAGGCGGACTCGGCTTAACGGTTTATACTGGGGTTGCCTGCTCAACGACAAAGCATATAAATTAAAAAATATCAACCTTGTAATATCGCTTATCCCCTAACAACACGGTTCGTTATGTCCATTGTATCGAAGGGTCTTTATTCTTTGTGACGAACAAGCACACGCAACGCACCGCTGGACGATTCGATTCGGACGACAGGGGCTTAGGGTAAGCCTCGGTTTGCGGTGTTGCATCGTCGCGCAAAGAGCACCGCGTTGGTGGCCCCAGTGGCGCTCATCTATATAACCTCATGACCTCCAGATAATCAGCTTACTTACTTATTTGTTACAGCAGGGGTTAGGGTTTGGTAGGATTGGGTGAGGGTGGGGTGGATGTGGCGATGGTGTTTGATGTAGAGGGCTGCATAAATTTATGAGCCATTCAATTTCATTCAATAAGGGTGAATATATTTTTTGACGTTGAAATGTGTGCCATCGGAGGACAAGAGCAACCAAGTAGTCTGTACAGTTACCTCCCTTAGCCGAGCCGGGATCCGACGATCGTTGTTTCTCTGGTTCTCTTGCTTTGTCATCATGTTATGGTTACACAAGCGCTTACACACCGTGGTATTAATAAAATACGTTTCGAAGGGGCGTTGAGCTAACCACACTTCGACTTGATTCAGAAATCTACATGTTGTTGTTTGTTTGTTTTTAACTGGAATCCGTGGTGGGTCTTTTCTCCTCAATGTCATTGGTTGCATTTAATTGCCAATAAAGATGTTAAAAACGCCGCTCTTAGGAATATTCTAGATATATGACGGCGGTCTAAAAATAATCGAATCTTGACCAGACAATCAAGTGATTGACATCATGAACATTGATCCACGCAATTGGGATACGATGACATGCATCAACCAAGTCAGCGAGCCTGACCACCCGATCCCCTTAGTCGCCTCTTACGACAAGCACATTCGCCTTTTCGGCAAGCGTGGGTTGCTGAAGACCTGTTCTACCCCGGATCTTCACGGGTCTGGTCATAGCTGTCGCTCGCCACTGCGCAAACCTGGGCTTGACTCCCTGTTCGGGGATTTTCAAGATGAGTCCAAAGGACCAGTTTCAACCTTATTTCAAAGTCCTCCGAGTTTGTAGCTAGTCCTGCTTGAACAAGACAAACACGTTTACTATGTTTACATTTTCTGTTAGTTCTATTCAGTCCCAATTTCGACCTGTGAAGATCCGGGGTAGAATAGGTCTTCACCAACCCATGCTTGCCGTAAAAGGCGACTATTCGTGTCGTAAGAGACGAATAACGGGATCGGATGGTCAGGCTCGCTGAGTTTGTTGATGCATGTCATCGATCCCAATCGCGTGGATCGATGCTCATGATGTTAATCACTGGAATGTCTGGTCCAGACATGATTATTTACAGACCGCCGTCATAAAGCTGGAATATTGCTAAGTGCGGTGTTAAACAACAAACCAACCAGCCAACCAGTTCAATTTCGTAGCACATTTGAAATATTAAGAACTGGTTCAGAATGACATCTCTAAAAGCTGCTTGTCAATGAGGATGCCCATCATTCAACTGTTACTTGCCTTTAGCACAATTTGGTAGACTCGGGCTAGCGGACTAGCGTAGATTTCGAAGGCTGAGTGAGTTTGATATGTTCCCCGACCCATTCGCCCTCATGCAGGCCGCCTCCGTGGTCTAGTGGTAGAGCGTCCGCCCAGAGAGCGGAAGGTCCGGGGTTCGATCCCCGGCCGCGTCATATATATACCAAAAGACGTTAAAAGATGGTACTTGTTGTTACCCTGTCTGGCGCTCGGCATTAAGGGGCTAAAACAAGGGCTGGTCGGCTCGGAGTCAGTTTACTGTGTCTGAGTTGGGTATTCATGTTAAACTGCGGCATGGTATCTCAGTGAGCACACGTGCATGCACGTCGCTATATAAGTGCAAAAATCTTGGACGCGACGTTAAACCCAATTTACCCTCACCATACTGCTGCAGCACGGCGAGGTAGAATCCACGTATCAAAAGTGGACGGTGGGGTAGCCTAGTGGTTAACGCGCTGCCTCGCCACGCCGAAGACCCGGGTTCGATTCCCCACATGGGTTCAATGTGCAAAGCCCATTTTCCGGTGTCCCCCGCAGTGATATTGCTGGAATATTGATAAAAGCGACGTTAGACCATACTGAGTCAGTCAGTCGATATCAACCGAGGAACGGCAGAGTCCGTGGCCTAAATTCTCGCGGTAGATAACACCAGTTGTCTAAAGTTCACATCCTGGCCATGTACAAACACGTTTATATTACGGCATATGCGTGTCATATGACGTGACAGGGGATCATGTCACATAGTGTCTTGTATATAGTGTGACATCTACACCTGCAAGAGACTTATGTGGAGTCGATAGGAGGAGTGGAGATTCAACGTCACGTTCACGATTTTTGTACTTATCTAGCGACGTGCATGTACGTTTTGTTTTGTTTGTTGTTTAACGCCGCAGTCAGCAGTATTCCATCTATATGACGGAGGTCTGTAAATAATAGAGTCTAGACCAGACAATCCAGTGATTTACATCATGAGGATCCATCTACGCAATTGGGATCGATGACATGCTTGAACCAGGTCAGCAAGCCTGACCAACCGATCCCGTTAGTCGCCTCTTACGACAAGCATAGTCATAATGTTCATGTGTTTATGCTGTGTGTGTGTGTGTGTGTGTGTGTGTGTGTGTGTGTGTGTGTGTGTGTGTGTGTGTTTTAGCGATATGAAATAACAGCATCTGACATACTCGTGTTATTAGTTATACCTATATATGACTGAGGTATGCATGGTATTTTTTGTTTAACGCTGCGTCAGCAATATTACAACTGTATGACGGCGGTATGTAAATAATCGAGTCTGAACCAGACAACCTAGTGATTCACATCATGACCATCGATTTACGCAACTGGGATACGATGACATACAATCGACCAAATCACGGAGTCTGACCACCCGAAATAAGCAGTCCTCTTTCACAAGCACGGGTTGCTCGGAATCTAACTTCTTACCGGGAATCCATGAAATGTAACAATATTTTGATTTATTTTTAATATATTCACTATGAGTGATATGTATAATATTCGGGGGCGGTCGGGTACCCTAGTGGTTAAAGCGTTCGCTCGTCACGCCGTAGACCCGGGTTCGATTCCTGACATGGGTACAATGTGTGAAGCCCATTTCTGGTGTCCCCCGCCGTGATATTGCTAGATAATTGCTAAAAGCGTCGTAAAACCAAACTCACTCACTCACTCACTCGATAATGCCAAGACACCTAGACATGATCACAAACGTTTCACAAGAAATTGAAATGTTTATGTTTACAAGATGTTTTTTTTTCTCCCTTGTTTTCCGTATAACAATGTCAGCTCGTGCTGTACATGGTCATATACCGTGGCCATAAACTCATTGAGGAGAACTCATAGCTATATATTTCTGTACATCCGGGTACTGATCAAGTGCGCTAAAAAAAATTAAAAAAGTACTCACGGAAATGAAAAAAAACTGTTTTTTCGACCTCAGATCTTAAATAAATGCAGTTAATATACAAAATATGTAAATATTCAAACAACTAAATTAGTACTAATTGGGCCGTGGCACAAATACAGCGTATCAAATGTTTTTTATGCCTTTTTACACGTAAAAGTGTGTAAAAATGTGAATAAAACAGACTATTGTGAAACAGGGCATAACCAGGTGTAAGTAGATCAAGGTGACCTATGACACCTTGACGACAGGTGAGAACAGGTGCATAATGCCTATAGCCTGTTTCTGCTATGTCAATTTGGACTTAGTTTTATTTTTGAATGTTGAAAGTGCCGACAAATTACCTCCTGTAAAGTACATTTTGTATTGTTCACTGTGATCAAACTAGCAAATCCAGACTAGTACTTTTCGAGTTGTTTTGTTATTTCGTATTTACAGCTACGTAACACTTTGTGTCGATTTTTAAATTGAGAAAAACAGGGTTTTTTCATTTCCGTGAGTACTTTTTTAAAATAACAAACTGCCAGGCAGGGAAAACGGACTCTCGCAGCGATTAGCCCTGCTCGGAGCTCTGTGCTGTCGCATCCACCAGTCACAGCTGTCTTCCAATACTCTGTCCAACTTGTGAGTGAGTGAGTTGGGTTTAATGCCGCTTTTAACAGTATTCCAGTTATATCACGGCGTGTCAGCTTAATGTGGGAGGAAAGCCCGAAGTGATGCAGGTCTCAGACGTTTACCACTTCGGTGAAACCCAAGACCACGGGTATGGTGCTGACAATCCTAGAAACATAATCGGGGCTAACCGGGATTCGAACCCACAAACATAGGTTTCTGGCGTACCCAAAGGACGCAACTCTGCACAGCGAATCACGGTGCCTTAGACGACTGGGCCAGTGTCAAACTTTGGGTGTAGAGGATTTAGGCATTAGGGCACAGTCCGTATTAAACTTTGTTAAGCTTGTCATACATTTTTTTTATCTGCTTACCTGGATACCGACTATGGCATATGAACATCATACAATATAATATACATTTACGATTATTTACAATTTACAACAATTTTCAGCAATAAAGTGTAGATATTGTTTTTAACCAGAGGACATTATGATTGAATAAATGGATAATTTGAACACATATATTTTTGCACTATTAAACACACTTTGAAAGTTTAATACCTTTGGCTTATCAAGGTTATTAGTTCTATAGCTTTTTAAATAATTGCAATTGAAAAGTGCATGGAATTCATCACCAACGTCACTTCTATCACATTAATTACATTGTCTTACTTGGCGCCAGCGACCCACTGAACTGAATTGATGAGAACCATTGTTTTTTACATAATTTATAAAAAATATTGTTCAGCTACAAGTTCGGATTTAAATATTATATACGTTGAGCTTGATGAATCAAACATTTCAGATGACCATTTTGTTAAGACTGATCTTGTAATCTATTTGGCACAGTACATTTTAGTGAATGGACAGAAGTAAAACAGGTGAATACCATATGCACATCAAACCAGCCTCAAAAGAGATAGAGACCCGAGAAGATCCGGGGTAGAATAGATCTTCAGCAATC